TTAGGTCATGCAGTTCTTCGTGCGGTCTTCTAATTTTAGTCCATGCCTGACTTTTCGAACGACCATTAATTATTCCTGTGACTGATCTAATATGTTGGGCGGTATTGGCCTAGTACGTACTCAGTCGTTCGAACGAACTTTTTATTTCTTGGCGGCCTAATAGGTCAGGTGATTCTTCTGACCTAGACCCTGCTTGGAGACAATGATTTTTTCTATCATTATACTTTCTACAAATATATTGATGATGTAAGTGCTGATAAATATTACTTCTCCTTAATTATAACACTCGCACACAATCATACGTTGCTCTCTCACGATCGTAAAATCTCACTTACAATCGCACACTCACTCTGTTCGATATATCTTTCTCTACTCTGGTTTGTCACAAATGGTAAAATGTCTCGTTCATAGTGTTTGTCTTGGTGTACTTATAGGGTTTCCGTGGGCCCATGGGTTAGACCATGGAGCTTACATGACCGATCAATTTCCAGCTCAGCTCGTTTGGGCTTGGGTACCATCATATATATACACTAGAGTTACATAAATACATAATCCATCGTTGGTTACGTTATAATAAAAATAGGGTTAGGGTTATGATTAAAGCTATGGAAAATACGTCTTCAAACTGCACCGGTGAGGAGATTACCGGATCACCCAACATGCGGTTCAGATCTATCTAGAAATTGATGTACAAGATGAAGAAAGCCTTTTAAGAAAAGTAATGTTCCAAATTTCCTAGTCTGTTATCTTTGGCCCATTAGAATATATTATATATAGTTAGACGATTAGAATTTCTCCAGTGATAAGAAATTAGTATATTACTGATATATTTACAGTCTCGAATCCTGCGATTTCCGCTCAAATTCCCTTTGATTTTCATTGAGCCCTAGATTGAAACGAAGTTTCGATTGGGCGAAATGGCCCTGAAGAAGGAGGAGGGACAGACGTTGGTGGAGAAGAAGCGGAAGTGTTCGGAACAAGGTGGGATTTTGATCTTTAAATTTTGAAGTTATTTGGAATTGTACCTGTGAATCAGGGTTCAGGGCTATTGACGTGATTGCAAGTTTTTTTATATTTTGTTTAATTTTTCACCATTTGTTTAGATAAACGTGTGAAATATTTTCATCTCTGGGAGTTTTTGACACTTTTGCCTGAAATTTTGCAGGAGTTTTGGCAAGTGAATGCGTTAAACTGTTTCTAGGTAGGATGATGTATATTTTCTTACTTTCCTTTGAATTACACTTATCTTTCTTAACCATATTATTTTTCTTAAACTGTATAATAAATGATGTAAATGCATTCAACAAAGTCTTTAATCAATCTTCTGTAGTCTAACTATCTTTTTAACTAGAAATTTTTGTTTTTTTGTCAGTAAATGATTTTTGGATGTGATGGATCGTTCTTTTCTACGATTCTTCGAATAAATTGCAAACCCAAGAATATGTTAATGTAAATCTTTGGAAAGAATAACTTGCCACCTTACCTGTTAACAATTGGATTCAAATGAATTTTATAATCTTCTATTTTTAAGATTTATCTTCACATTGAGCTTTGTTAATGTCTTTTTTTAATTTTTACTTTTGTATGTTGGTACTTTCGTATATTGATTTGGTTCTATACTTCTATTATTTCGTGTTGTAATACATTTTATGGCTATATATTAATTGTTAACCACTTAATCTGTATATATTTAACCATGTGACGCTTCAGTAAGTCATCCAGATGAAGTTGATGCTCCAAACAGTGCATCTGTCAATCCCGTTTCAGTTTGCATTGATCAGTTAATTGGTGAAGGTGGGAAGATATATGGCTACGAAGATGTACAGGTTTGTTCTTTCTATTGTTTGTTCAGTTCAGATAATCTCAGAGTTGATAAATATTCACTGTTATTGACTTATTTCTAATAAAGATGTTACCCTTTGAGATTTATATTACACTGTGCTGATTATTTCACATTTTGAAGCAGATTAGCATATGGTTTAACATCATTTCTTTTCTTGCATATGTTAATATAACGTTCATCCGTAAATTTGATGTAAGTAACAATGTAACATGATGTCTTACTTGTACTTTTTGGCAGTTAATAATTTTTAATTAGCTTTCTCTTACGATTACAACTTTAAAACTTGAAAGTTATGTATATATACATTCACTTTTATTTATTTTTTAAGTCAGGAAAAGGCATAACTGATTTGGAATATGCTTTCCAGGTATATATTTTTTTTATACCGATTTACCTTTAATGTCATTCTGATGCATTACTAGTTTTTCAGAATATATTTGGTAAATCGATGATGATGGATAAAAATGAGTTTATTCAAACTTTTTTTTCAAAAAGTTCTTCAATTAGGTAAATATATTATAAATCCCTTAATTTTCTAAAGATTTCTTTCATAAATAGCATAGTTATTTCATTGAATAATTCATCTTTCTAAATTTCATCTCTTTATATGTTCTCCTATCTTGTACTATTCATGATTTTTCTTTCTATGCATAGTGATGTTTTATCTGCTGGACCAGTCGTAAATATCTATGCAGATACATCGGAAACCAGAGTTGAGGTTCTTGTGTTTTATTGCTTCTTTCCGTGATTTATTCATTTTAAAATTGGAATAATATCATCTACAATCTACATGTTCCATCTAATATTTGCAAATGCCATTCACCTCTTCATAATGTGATATTCGGAGAATTAAAGAAGATAAAATAAACAATCATGCAGATAAAGCAGAAATTAACAGGAAATAAACTTGTCTTTTCATAACTCACCTTCCAAAGGAGATAAATGAGTTAATTAGTTAAATAGACACTACAAACATAATAACAACCGTCTATTACACATGACACATGAGCATAACTTCCACTTAGAATATTATTAAATAAAACACAACCACATGGACTGACTGTAAATAAACATAATAAGTGCTAAGATGTTATTGCACAACTTGGTTCTTTTTATAATGTGTCGCATTACACTGCTAGTTGTTACTCTCTGATTTCTCAATATTTACAATCAGGTTATTCGAATGAATTTAAGCTGCACGTCTGTTGGCTTGTTGTATAATTATTTGACGCCTCTTATTCTTCTTTTCATTGAAGGTAATTTCAACAATTTTGTTAGAGTTGTTGCATAGTTGCATTAATATCTCTCTACTGTAAAAAATTTTAGCATCAATACGAAGTTTTCAATCCACCATGAATTTCTCTTATCTTTTTCTACTTTCTAGGAAGCAGCCCAGTCGACATAACTGACCCTAACTGGGAAATTTATTTTGTTGTAAAGACACGTCTTGGATTCAAAACAGAAGACATTCGATTTAAAATACTTGGATTTTCAACCACTTATCGTTTTTACCACTATCCTGCCAGTTATCGATTACGAATCAGTCAGGTGTGTCGAAAATAAACAAGTTAGATAATATTTAATATTTTTTGACTGATCAATGGCATTCACATTTGCAGATATTGGTATTGCCCACTTACCAGCGACAGGGTCACGGATGCCATCTCTTAGAATCTATAAATTCTGTTGCGATTTCTCAAAATTATCATGACGTGACTGTTGAAGAGCCTTCTGATTATCTCCAACATCTGCGTACCAGTATTGACGTCGTCCGCCTGTTTGGTTTCAAACCTATAGATGCAGCAATGATTCCAAGCCTATCTCTTCTGAATGAAGTTGAGTTGTTAAAGATAGCAAAGAAGTTCAAGTTGAATCCACCAGCAGACTTAGTATCAGCTGTTAGTGAAAACTTAAAAATAAATAAGAAGCAACTTCTCAGATGTTGGGAGGTTCTCATCTATTTGAAACTTGATCCTGAAAAAAAAATATGTTTTGACAACTTCAATGCTTGTATGTTTAACCGTGTGAAGGCTGATGTCATCGGTAAAGAAGCAGAAGCCGACAGATACTACAGAAAACGATTAGTTGAAATGTGTGATCTATATTCCTTTACTATGCTCAAATATAAGGACGATAGCGCTGATGGAGAGAAGAATGATTTAGAAGATGAGATTGTCAAGCGTTTTGAGCTGCAGTTGAATCAGTTGGTTTTAGAAAGAATAGAACAAATTGCTGAAGATGCAAAGAAGGTCATGTTGCATCATTCTGCTCATTAGCTTATTAAATTTTAGGTCGTCCGAATTAAGATTTAAGAGAATATCATTTTGTCGTTGATGTAAGAGAATATCTCTATTTTGGCGTTAGGGCACCATTTGTTTCCTATGCTTTCTATATTTGTCTGTTCATAGTGGTGTGAATGTCCTTCCTTATAAGCTTAGAATCATATGAGATAAGGAATGATTAGATAACATAAGATATCTGATGCATGAACGTATTTTTGGATTTATCATTTATATACAATATCTTGAGATATTATTAAGATTTAAAGAAACAGTTGAATTTTTTTTGTGGGATCAGAAGAAATTGAATTCCCATTTTGTTCATTCATTCATTCATTTGGATCATGCTATCATTGGACTTAAAACAAAGAACCCCTATCTTATAAGACTCTTTACTAATATTGAGACAGGCTACTTGATATTGATGAGAAAGAATCATTAATTTTGAAATTGATTTTCAACCGTCTGTTTCATTTATTTGAGAGATGTTGTTAGAATACTGTTGGTACCACGGTCCGTGCGCGGCCAGGCGAGACCAAGGGTCCCTGGGTTGAGGTAACTCCAGAGGACGAATAAGGTCAAAGCACAGTATAAATACCCTCCTTGGACCGTTAGGGAGGGGGTTGGAAATCATAAAGAGAAAGGAGTGAAAGAGAGTTAAATGTGAGTGTGTGAGGATCAGTATTTATGCTAAGTTCATACTAGCATGCATTAGTTCATATGATTGTAGTGCTGAAGATATGCTTAAACTAATGCATGCAGTTTATAAAATATGAAAAATAGTGAAAGTAAGGAAGTGAGAAAAAATGTGAGAGGTCACGGGTTCGATCTTTCATGTCTCTAAATAATTATTTCTGAGGTCTGATGACTGATACAATGGGGATGTAGCTCAGATGGTAGAGCGCTCGCTTAGCATGCGAAAGGTACGGGGATCTATACCATGCATCTCCATATAATATTTAAAAATAAGGTTGACTCATTGGTCTCACGAATTATTAAGGTTTCTGAGGTCTATGGTTCGAATTTTACTTTATACATTTCCATTTAAATTTACCTGATGATATATTATGTGACTATGGTATATCATCCGGAAGTTGATAAGCTCTACATCTGTGGAGAAGCACCATTGGTTATCAAAAAAAAAAAAAAAAAAAAATAGCGAAATTTTGAATGGACTGAAATAACGGTAGGGTGTTTTATTACAAATCCGAAAAAAATAGCGAAATTTTGAGGTCTATGGTTCGAATTTTACTTTATACATTTCCATTTAAATTTACCTAATGATATATTATGTGACTATGGTATATCATCCGGAAGTTAATAAGCTCTACATCTGTGGAGAAGCACCATTGGTTATCAAAAAAAAAAAAAAAAAAAAAATAGCGAAATTTTGAATGGACTGAAATAACGGTAGGGTGTTTTATTACAAATCCGAAAAAAATGAGCTGAATCGGGTTTTCCCTAAAAATAAACCTCTCAACTCTCGAAACCCTAGTTTTCTATTCTTTCATCCTCTCATTCACGATCTACACCCGTCGTCTCCGATCTTCAACCAGAGCACGGGCTTCCACAGAGAGAGAAGGGGGATAGAAGGAATAATCAGCAATGGCGTCGAAGCAGATCAAAGAGATCCAGAGGAAGTTGTCACGGTTAAACTACCCACGTGCCGAAGCTCAATCCCAGTCCCTTCTCTACGCTGGAATCGAGCGTTATGCTCTTCTCGAGTGGCTTTTCTTCAGGTAACAAACCGAGCAACTTACAATGCCCATTTCGAATTTTCCTTCTCACTCATAAAGATTTTATCGCACGAAGCTTGAATGTCTTGATTCGGTTTCTTCTGATCCTTTCTGCAGGCTTTTAGGTGAGAGGTCGCCGTTCAGACCGCAGAATTGGAAGGTAGAGAGTTTAGATCGAGACGAGGAGACCGCTCGAATCCAACGTGAGGACTCGGTTGTTTTTTTAATAGCCAAAAGGCTAGAAATTATATTTATTGTATATATATACTTTAATTAGCGTGTTGAAGGATTGGGCAGATTTGGCAGAGATAGCAAGTTTCTTGGGAATTACAGATTCTGTTGACACAGAAGCCATCCAAGTGAGTTTCCTTACTAGTTTTTTTTGGATTGTTTTTTCTAACAATTACGCAAATATACGAATGTCAGGGAAGAGGTAGCTATGAAGACCGCACAGAGATGCTTTGTCTTATCGTCGACCTTGTTGAGGCAAGCTGCTGTGCTGATAATCCCCAATGGAGGTTGAGATTTACATAGATTTTTTGAAATCATTCTGATATTTGAACTAATAGTTTAAAAAAAAATCTCATCTGGGTTTTTAACTCATTCTGTCGTTTCCGTTCTCCATCAGCGTCGATGAGCAATTGACTAAGGATGTGCAACTTTTGGATTCAATTGCTGAGAGACAGGCACAAATTTTCTCTGAAGAATGTAAACTCTTTCCCGCAGATGTTCAAATTCGCTCGATATTTCCTATGTGAGTGTAGTTAATGATAATTAGCTGAATTTTTCAATCTTTCAATCATCAATTACTATTTTTTCTGGATAAAATAATTCTGTCTACTACCTTCTCAATGCAGGCCAGATATATCTGAACTTGAGTTAAAGCTCAGTGAGCATTCAAAGAAGTTTTCTAACCTGCAGCAGATGGTTCAGGATCTAGCATCGAAGGTTCGTTAGCTAATACATTACTTTCAAAGAATTAGTTCACAAATCACAATCACTCTGAAATGGTGAAAACCTTATTGTTATGCATTGCCACATGTCGTGATGAAATTTGATATTCAAAATTTCAAATGCCCATTTAATATATTACAGGTCTCATGAAATCACTTGCAGTTGAGCTACTTCCTATGAATCACTCAGTGGATTTATCCTCTTTCTTCAAATCTTGGGGGATGTTTTCTCTCTCATACTACAAAAAACACAAACAAACAATTTGCTTACTAATTAATCGTAATGTTCGAACAGGGAGGGATGAAGGCACCATAGTGAATTACGTAGTTGGTTCAGGTAGATCCCTAGAACGGTTTTGACCAAGTACTTTGGGGGTGAATTATTTTCACTTGACAATTACTCTAATTCCAAATTTGACAGTTTGGGGTACCAAGTTGTGTAATCGGATCCGAATATGAGAATGGGGGAAATCATCCACCTGCTGATTGCTTTAATTCCACTCTCCAGGAGAATATTTTGAAGCTCTCCAGGAGAACTTAGCCTTTTTTTTAGAACTCTTCCTGTATTCATAGGGTTTTTCTAGAGTTTTCTTTTGAAAGGGATGAATTTGTCTCACAATTTATCCAATCAATGGATCCATTAGTCTAATGGGCTTTTCTATAATCAAGAAATCCCTATTGGTCGACCGTAATTAGATCATCTAATGGGGTTTGATTCTAACGAGGGCTGATTCCTTATTTAATAATATAATTTCACACTGCTTCATGAATCATGACTGTTATTCCATTATTCTAATTTATAATTTTTTTTTGGTGTGCAAAGTATGCTTACAATCCTGACGAGGATTATGTTGAAACAGAAGCTAAACTCAGAGCACAATTGGGATCCTTTTTGGAAACAGTCAAAAGTTTCAATATGATTTATACGAAGGTGATATACATTGATTATATTCTTACCAAAACTAGTTGGTTTCTTTATTTGTACACTTAACAATTCGATAAAGTAATAAACACGTGGTTAATATGTAAACAAAGTGTATTATTGTTTTCAACTTACAGGAGATCCGTCCTTGGACACACATGATGGAGGTGCCACAGTTGCACGGATTTGGGCCGGCTGCCAATCGATTACTGGAGGCTTACAATACTCTTTTAAAGGTTTTCTTGAAACCTTTTGGTCTCTTTTATGCGAATTTCGCATTTGGATGTTTCGATGTCTATGAAAACATTTGCCATTCTTTGGTTGCAGTTTCTTGGGAACTTAAGAAATCTACGGGATTCTCATGCAGCCATGGCAAATGGAATAGAGCCAATAATGGGCCGACCTTCTTCCTCCGTCTCACAGATAATCACAGAGTGTGAATCTGCACTCACACACCTGAATCACAACCTGTCAATCCTGTCAGCTTCTGTGGCCAGAGAACAACAGAACATGCCTACTTGGTCCAACAAAAAGCAGTAAAGAAAATAAAAATCCTTGCATTCCATATGTATTTGATAAGTGGTGATTTAGATGGAAGTCTAGATATCTGGAATCCATCCTGTAGCAGAATTTTTTTATAAAATTATACAAATTCGTTATATATTCTCATGACAACAATCACAATCATTCTCATTTATATAAACAAAAAAATACATGTTGGATTGATTGTTCAGAGAGTAACACCCAAGTTGATTCATAATCGTCTGTACATATTTATCAGACTGGTGTTCGTACAGAAGACGGTCCGGATTTCATGTCTTCTGAAATAAGATCCAACAGAGCTCGAGCTACTTCACCCTCTTTGCCTGAGATAAAAAAGAAAACCATATAATCACTAACTAGAATTTTTGAAAGTGATTATTAAGAGTTCTAATTCAATCGTAGATTTTAATGAAAGATCGATAGTAAAATATTATATCTTGTTATCACCGTTTCCAATCATGACATCATCCCATTGCACAACGGGTTTCACAATTATGCCACTGCCGATGAGCATCATCTCGCGAGCAGACTTACCTTCCTGAACGTTCACATGTCTTACTTGGATTCCATGAAGCTGTCCAGATTTAACAAGCTGGTCGGCGAGAAGCAATGCTCTTTTAGCAGTGCAGCCACTGAGAATTCCATCGAACCGAGGCATCGTAAGTATCCCATTGTCGAGTACAAATGCAACATTCATGTTTGGGCCTTCAGCTATGTATCCTTCCTCATCTACCCAAATCGCGGCAAATCCTCCATTCTTCTCTGCTTCCATCTTAGAAAGCACATTTGGAAGGTAATTCACTGATTTCATTGTAGCGAACAAAGGCGGCTTCATTGGGATTGATGAAGTTATAACCTTAACACCCTCTATTCCAATTGGAGTTGGGGGTTCAATCACAATGGCATACAATGCTGATTTGGAATACTTGGAAGGAGATAGTTGGAAATTTCCAGGTCCAGATGACATCCAGTAGCGCAATGAACCATTCTTGCAACCTGATGCTCTCACAGTTTGTATCAATATGCTTCTAAGCTTTGCCCGATCGAATGGCGGCTTTATCTTTGCCATCGACGCTGACTTAAGAAACCTATCGATATGCTGCTCGACTTCGTATAGATAACTGAAATCAATCAATCAATCAAATCAAATCAATCAATCAATCAAATCCAAAGATCCAGATGACTTTGGAATTTGAGATTATACAGTACATACATACAAATATACAATCATGATAAGTACCCATTAACTATGGCAGCCGTGTCGAAAATGCCATGTCCACGATGAACCATGTGATCATCCATGGATATGACCATGTATGCCGGATCAGTGGTTATTCCACCAAAGACACTGGAATACATGGCCGAGTAAGTTTGCTTGTTGACTTTGTTACTCTCTTCATGATGGGTTTTCAATCCATCCAGAACCTGAAAGAAATTAAAGATAGATTTATTTGAATGATAGATTAAATGATGAGATTAATTTAATTTTAACCTGTGAAGTGGTTAAGATCGGAATAGTATCTGATGCATCGTCGCTGACAGAGAAACCACCATGAAAAGCCATCTGAATGTTTGTTTTAGGCTGTATATTTGCAACAGTAGACATCCGAAGATCCGATGGAAATTTAGGATACCATAACTCTCTGACGAGAAGAGACCGAGATCTAGGTGGCGAATCGATGAAGAATGAATTCCCGGTGGCCTGAATAGTGCGGATTAGAGTTGAAGATCTCATCGGATTAGTCGACGGTCACTCACTACTCAGTACAAATTTATTTTAATTCTTTAAAGGGTTAA